CGTCTTACTTGTTAACATGTCGTGTCAAGTGTTATGTTAGGTCATATCATGTACGTCATAGGTTGACCCAACACAATGCCATCTTTAGGTATTTTATCTCTTTCGGCTGCTCTAAGACAACTATATATATAAGACATAAGGCATATCTTTCGTTTTAAATTTTTAATGTTATGACTAATTATTTTAGGATAATATCTAAAACGACTCTCATCATTGTCCAAATCTTGCATCGCCTCTAAAATATAACCATCTTAGTTGTTAGTTACCACAAGTAGTTATTAGGATTATATATTCATTCTCTCGCTAACACTTAAAATGAATTGATTCTATATTCTAACAATTGAAATAAAGGACATATAGTGGACCTATGATCGATTAATGAAACCAAAAGAATTAAAGGAAGCTAAGGTATTTTTGGGGAGGATATAAAATAGAAAAGGATATTTGAGATAAATTATTGGGTAAGCTAGTCAATAGCAAGCTTCCTTTTTTCCAAAATTGCATGTCATCAAAGTCTACACAAAATCGTACTTATATATTTTATCTGCACACTATCTTGTTAGAGTCATCCATAAATATATTCCTTTGTTCCTTGCACAACTACTTGTTCATGGTCAGAGTTATGGTCCATAGCTTTTCAAAATTAATAAACCGAGAAAAAAAAAAAGTTGCTTTCATAATCCCTTTTCTTTGTCTCTTTTTGTTTTGCAAGAATAAAAATCTCTTTCATTATCTTATAATGGTGTATTATTCCGCAATTCTATCCTATTCATGTAAAGAATTTAGTTTTAATCAATCATTGAAATTTTATTAATCAATGTAGGATACCTAGGTTGGCAGCTTAACTTCATGTCAAAGTGTACCAAGTTGGCAATACTTATATTTTCTTCATGTTCAATTCCCTTTACTTAGCTGTTGCTCCATCAATGAAGTGCCAAATTATATATAATACTTGATTATGATTTGATTTCAATTTAACATAATACACATATTATATTATTGGTGTAAGGGTCAAATTGCAAACCAAGTTATTATTAATAATCTTTAGGCATGAAAAATGTCAAAGCTTAATAAATTTAGATGTGAAAAATTATACTTAATTAGATGATCATAAAATCTGAGAGGAGGGATAGCTCAAGTGGTTAGAGCTTTCCTCTCGATTCTAGGAGGTCTTGGGATCAATTCTCACCCCCACCCTTATGGGCTCTCTAAACACCAAAAAAAAAAAAAAAGATGATCATAAAACTTGGATTTAATACATATTTATAGAGTACTATAAAGAGAGCAAATTTGATCATTCACACATTTGCATGATGCTCGTTATACGCATGTGTACAGTCCATAGTACAAACGTTGCTATATTTGGTATGGTAAGGCATATTTTCGTATTCTTATCGTAGACATATCAATATAATTGATTGCAAAACTCATGGCAACACCACATCAATTGTAGCCAAATTAATGATTTAACAAGTGAAAGCAATAGGAGTTGCAACTTGAAAGAGTCAAGACAAAACGTCTCCATTGTCGAAATTCATAATGCTTTGTTACGTTGTTGAAGCTAATTGATATTAATAATATTAGTATCTACTTGATCTTACAGGATATAAAAAATATAAAAAATCTGGGACTTAATTTTCGGTGCTGTAACATTTTGAAAGTTGATAGGGATATGGTTTTTACTGGCCAACAACAACAGGACTAGTTTAATTAGCTTTAGTTTAGACTTGTAATTTTAATTGTGTTACGCTGATGTAAAAAAAAAAAGAAGAAGCTAATTGAGGTGTCCTAGATGCTTCATTGACTAGGCCGCCCTCTTGTACCAAATTTACTTCACCTCGACCACTACTCCTAGTTGTCAAACAACAAGGCCAAAATTTCACCTCTAACCACTTCATCACCTTTTGTCCGTTTTTGTTTTCTTTTGCCTTGATTTTCATTTCTGTTAGTGGGAATAAAATGACAAATAATTGAATAAACTAAAGATTTACTACTATACCTCCGTTAATTTTAAACTGCAACAAAAGAATATTATTTATGAGACGTAAATTCTTCTTTATTGCAACTAAATGTAGAGTAATTTACACACCATCTAAACAAAATTTATGTCAAAAGCTTTTTGTGAAAATAGTGTGAAAAATATCTATGAACAGTAATTTGAAAAGAATTTAAATGTGCATGCAAAGCTTTATCCAATGTGAGATTATCTCCTTCAAAGTTCAAATAAATCACATGTAATATTTGTACTTTAGGCCAAAAATAATATTAATACTGCAATGAATCCAAAACCAAAAACCTTTTCCTTAAACAAAATGACATGCGTCTTTAAATTGATAAAAAAAAAAAAAAAAAAAAGGTGTAAACATGAAGCTTTATCCATAAAGCAGCTAAATAAAGTGAAGTGATCTGACCCCTTTAAAACCCTTAAAAGGATAAACTCCAACCCTCCTAAAAAGCCAACTCCCCTTAATTTGGTTTTTTTTTTTTTAAAAAAAAAAAAATATGCCAAAAGCTTTTCTTTCTTACACAAACAACATACGACTGTCGTTCTTAACCACTAAAATAATTTAGGAGTCACTATATATTAATGTAATTGAACTACCATTATTAAACTTTATTCTATTTGCTTTTTATTAAATTAATTGTTTTCTGACGACAGTCTGATAGCATCTCACCCTAAAACGGAGTTATTAAATGCTACTAGCTTAGAGTTCTAATTTGTATACAGGCTGAGTTATACGTAGTATCTAAAATGAATGCCTCAATTTGACTTTGAACAATTCAAGTACGTCAAATTGAGCAAAGTTTATGTCGTATACTCGTATGTATATGATAAAACATAGCTATGTAGACATTTGTTAGAGTTGTTCCAATATAATTGATATTAATTATTAATTAAACTTATTATTAATACTAATTATTAAACATATTAATGATTAAATACGCCGGTAAAATAGAGGCAAACAAAAAAATAGAGGGAGTAGTCGTAATAGATTAAGCATGAGTTGGAAAACAATAGAGTAGAAAAGATAGATGATTAACCTTAATGGTTTCATTGTGTCTGTAACCAATGTGGAAAATGTTAGGTCGAGTTTTCCAATTTGTAGGGCTCACATTAGTAAACCAGTGGGCCTACTATACTTACATTTTTCGGCTATGTTAAATGTTTCAAGTGCCAATTATTGCTCATAACTTTAATCATCATCCATTCATCACAGTTACATGCGAGTACGAAGTAGGAGGAAAATTTAATTTTAGTTCCATTTCATTAGTGTTTGTTAATTATTTTTGTTTTTAAAAAATGAATAATTTTCTTGTCATATTCAACTAATTTCATAAAGTTACACTTTATTTAAGCTAGAATAATAAAATGAATACAAAAAATGAATAGTAACCTTTTAATTATTTCTTTACCGAATACCAAATATCTTAAGCTGCAAAGTAAATTTTTTTTTATATATATATTTTTTTTGTTTTTGGAAAATACATGTTTAGACTAATAAAACAAATAATGTAAAATTACAACTTAAGGTTGATTGAGAAAGAATATTAAAGAAAAAATCATATTAGTATTCAACCTTAAACCATCATGTATAAGCGAATAAAATAAAACATGATTTAAGTCCTTTTTAACTTGTGCAATACATTACTATAAAAGGGATATTGAATACGTTACGTCACTAAGTTTTTGCCAAATGGCAATTTATAGCAGAGTAATCTTGTGGAACCTTACGTCTAATATATTTATAGTCAACTTATAAATTTTTCTACATGTTAATGAATTCAAAGAGGAAATCAACACCTAAAATGTTGTCACCAAACCCATTTTAGACTAGAGAGGCATAGACAAAATGCCTAGCTTAGATAAATGATTGAGAAAATAGGAGTCGATGTGAAACCACTCCAAACTTGAATTAATTCAATCTTCCAATTGAAAGAGAAATAAGGAAAAATAAAAAATTGCGTAGAGGATGTAGTATGTAGGAAAATAAATGAAAGATGAAAAGGAGCAAATGAAATCCCATAATATTTTATGATTTCCCATTATTAGAAGGCAAACGAATAGCAAAAAGACATGTATGGTCGGAAGCATCAAAACTGTTGATGTCAAAACAAACGACTGTCGTTACTATTTTGGAAGACATTCATCTTACGCAAACTGCCATTTTTAGGTTTAAAGGTCTCCCATCTTTATTTTCATCTCCAATCAATGATAATAGTAACTTTTTGTTTATTAGAGCATTGCCACCAATGGGGAGAAAAATGCCCATGGGTAGTTTTTGGGGTTTAATAAAAAAAAAAAATAAATAAGCCCCCATCAATGGTCTAAATTAAAAATGCCCATGGGCAAATCAATTTTTGATCAAAGTTTGGGCAAAATTAAAATCTGACCAAGAAGAATCGGGCCGCACGTGCATAGCTGCAATTAAATTTTTTTTTGCTCACCTTACCTCAAAACGCAGCGTTTTGAGGAAGCGTGTGCGTTGCTTGACCTCAAAACGCAGTGTTTTGAGGGAAGGAAAAGCAAAAAAAAAATCTATTTGCAGCCCTGACAGGCGCGTCATGTCAGGTGACTTGGACCAATCAGGAAATTCCTGATTATTGCAACGGTAACAATTTTGTAACGGGTATTTTGTGCTTATAAAATTAAAAAAAAAAAATTACCAACGGCTAGAAAAAAAAATTCCCTACAAATAGAGACCCATTTTGCCTATATTTTCATATTTCCAAAATTCACATAAATTTGTTGTATTTACATTTTCTCTCAATTAGTCATCCTTTTAATATTAGTATTATTATTATTATTATTATTATTATTATTATTATTGGAAGTATAATTATTATTGTTATTATCTTAGCAGTATTGTTATTAATATTATTATTGTTGTTATTATTATTTTTGTTATTAATATTATTATTATTATTATTTTTATTTGTGTTATTATTATTATTATTGTTATTATTGTGTTAGTTTTTGAAATTAATCAATAAAAATAGATATGGATCCCAATAACCCCTTTTACTCAATACTTTCTCAAAATTGTAATGATTTAGATGAGAATTTCATGAATCAACCTCAATTTCAACTTTTCCTACAAAGATTGAGCAACACCTCTCTGCAAAATCCTCCACAACAACAAATACCTCCACAACTTGAAATACCTCCACAAATTCCAACTGAAAACACTGATTACGAGCAATCACCTCCTGTCTACCAAGGAAGTAACTCTCAGTACAATGATAGCCAAGAAGAAAATGTGCCTGAGACACCTCAATACCCTCCGTCGACTCAAAGAATGCCGGTGGGTTCCAACCAACAACTCGCTAAAGCTAGTCGTATTTGGTCAGTCGCAGAAGATGAAGTTCTTATTGGGCTATATTTAAAATATAGTGGAAATGCGATAGTGGGTACGGGCATGAAAGCAGCTGAACTTTGGCGACAAATATCTGTGGCGTACGACATGGTTCAAGCTAGGCAGCCAGAAATCCTACCACCCAGAAATGCGAAGATTTTGGAGAACCGTTGGAGAAGGATGGCGGCAAATGTACTGTTATGGACAAGTTGTTATGATGAAGCGGGTTCGTTAACTGGAAGTGGATTCAACGAAGTTGATCGAATTCAAAAGGCCTCGAAGTTGTTCAATATATCATCCAAACCACCACACAATTTTGTTTTCCCCCACGCTTGGGAAATGATAAAGAATGACCCCAAGTGGAGGCCGAAACTCAGATGGGCATTGTCACTAAAGGAACGACAGGATTGTCAACTGCGTTCGAAAGGGGACACCGAGGATAGCAGTGGAAGTGGAAAGAGATAAACAAGCTGCAGCTCGGAAAGACGTTGAACGTGCGTTTGGAGTTCTACAGGCTAGGTTTGCCATATTACGACAACCCTCACTTGCTTTCGACGAAGACATTTTGAGCGACATAATGAAAGCTTGTATCATTATGCACAACATGATTGTCGAGGATGAACGACACAATTACACTCGTGCCGAAGTTTTGAGAAGGTATTATGAAGAAGATCGCCCTCAACTTCATAGAGCAAGGTCCGGTCCGAGTACAAGTGCCACAGTGAATAACAATGAGCCTTTCGAAATTGACGTTGGCCGACCACCAAACGTTGATTTTGACGCGTATATTCAAAGAAGAATTACCCTGCGTGATAGCCAAACCCATTTTTCTTTGAAAGATGATTTAGTTGAGCATATTTGGCAAAAATACGGTCGTACAATTGAATAAATAGTTTTGTAATCGTTAATTTATTTGGTTTGTATGATAGGTGTACGATTATTATGTTCCAATCTTGTTATCGTTAATGTTGTACTAATAATAATGAAAAATGAAATTTCGCATAAAATAATTATATAAATAATTAATATTGTACTCATAAATAATTTAATCAATAAAAAAATTTAGTTAAGAATAAATATTATTATTTTATTAAAAAATACATTTCGCATAAATTAATAATAAAAATAATTAATATTGTACTCGTAAATAATTTAATCAATACAAAATTTTGTTACCAATAAAATTAAGAAATACTAAATTACAAATTTAATGATGTGTAGGAGAGATAAATATTGGTGGGGTATAGGGTTAAAAATAGGAGAGAGAATGGTGGGATTATAATTTTTGACCATTGGTGTAGAAAAAAAATGACCAAGAAAATGCCCATGGGGAGGAGGAGTGAGAAAGTGGTTAGAGAGATCGGGCAACCAAAAAAATGCCCATTAGTGGCAATGCTCTTACTATCTCCCTATTTGAAAGTCGTTAAAATTAGTTTTATATGCACGCAATTAATAGTACTCTCTCTTTTTTTTTAATCACTTTCATTTTTGCATTATTCACCTTTAAAAAATAAATAAATGTTATTATATAATACTCCATATTATTAGATTAGTCATAATGTCTAGTTTCATAATATAATTTTGTTATAATTTTTACTAATAGACAATAAAAGATATTAATGGTCAAAGTTTTGTCTCAGCAAATGTGTCGGTCAAACTAATGCAAATAATAATAATAAAAAAAGGGTAATGATAAGGGTTGCATATAAGCATTTAATGTAATTCTTTTTTGTCAAAGATTAAGATTATGTCGATGAAGAGGTTATATACAAATGTTCTTTGAGGAGTTATATGTTGTGAGGCTAGCTAGGCACCCCTAATAAAATTTTGGAAGCCGAAAGTCTCAAGATAAGATTTAGCGTCCTACAATAAAAAATCATCATGATCTCATACACAAAATGTTTCAAGTGGAGCTTTCTAAAGACAGGATTTTGGCATCGAGCTATTGGTGATGAGTTAGAACCGAAAGTCTCAAGACAAGATTTTGGCATCGAGCTTTCTAAATAAATATTTGTTAGAGAAATAGATTTGACTTTTCTTGGATAGTCTTTCAAATGGCTCCAAACCTAATATTCATATACATAAGATGAATAATTATAACAGCCATAATTCCCCTAATAAACCTCTGTAACAATTTGAAAAAGTATACTGTGGAGTACTCCGTAGTATATTAGCAACTACTCCAACATAAGAAGATCAAACATTTATGCAATAAGGAATGCTAAACAATATTGTAATTATTTGTGACATATTTTAAAATATGTTTTAGCAACTCATAAATGCTTGTGTGCATTTAGTCCCAGTACTAACTTAGCACTTGCTTATGAAGGTAGAGAGACTAGAGATGAATGAATGATCCATGCCTCTTGCTTTTGAAATTGACTTTGATTATTTATATAATATTTATAATTATAATCATTATATACTTATATACAAATGTATTTTTTTTTTGTGAGAGTACTTGATTGTTATTACATGTGTTACACTTGGTACTCCGTATATATATATATATAAAACAAATAATCGTAATTATTTTTTTTTAAAAAAAAAAAAAAAAAAAAAAAAAAAAAAAAAAAAAAAAAAAAAAAAAAACTTTCAGCAAGTCTGACTGCTTGCATGCTTCATCCAGCTTTCACAGTGTCATCCATATATGGTTAAACGTTAAAGTCAGATTCCATAAAATTTTCTAACATTTAATTCTCATAATTTAAAATTTAACCAATTAATTATTTAAATTAATTGATTGACAAGTATTAAAAAAAAAAAGAAGCAGAGTACCTAAATTCCTAATTCAAAGTCTTCCTTTTTACCCCCTTTTAAGTTTTAACTCTTTCCATCCATCCTATTATTCTGTCTTTCTCTCTCTGCAAATAAATTCTCAAAAATTTCTCAGTTGAAATTCATTGATAGTGACTTTAACTAATTCTTACTGTTTTTTTTTGTTTTTTTTTTTATTTTCTCTCTCCTCATTTAGACTTTTAGTATTGCTCTGTTTTAAAACAGGGGAAAAACAGAGTTCACAAATCTCCCAAAACATAAAAAAGATAAGAACTTGTTGAATTTTTGGGGATAATTTGGTGAAAAAAATGACGGTTGAACAAAGGGAAGATGAATCAATTGATCAATTTCCAGTGGGTATGAGAGTTTTGGCTGTTGATGATGACCCTATTTGTCTTAGGCTTCTGGAATCTCTCTTGAGAAAATGCCAATATCATGGTATGTTTTATTAAATTTATCATCTTTTATTTAGGTTTGAAGATTTATGATGATTTTCTGGGATTTTTCGCATAATTTGTTTGTAATAATTTTATACTTCATTTCTTACCCTAGAATAATTTTCTGTGTTGTTTACTAATAATTGTTCTGAAAGTGTTCTAATTTTCTACTCTTAATAATGAAATGCAATTATTATTTTTTTTAATGGATTTTCCCCCCTGTTTTATTCTGTGTTTGTTATTGATTTGCATCTGGATGATTCAAAAATAATTTAGATAATACCTATATATATATATATATAATATATATATATATTTTTTTTTTGCAATTTGTGAATTTTCAGCATGATTTTTAGTTTCTTTGCAAGCAATAGATTCTCATATTTGCGTTGAAAAGATTGTGGCTTTGTGTTTTTTTTGTCAATATAAATCCTCAGATTGAATGTCTACAATTTGGGTTAATTTGATTTATAATCTACAGTAACTAAAGTTTGTAATATGAGCAATCTGTGAAATTGGGTTGAATTTTTAATTCCATATCATATTTTCTGAATAATTAGCTTTGACCAATGAGATCTATTGGCAAACTTTAAGGGGATATTACTGACTTGTCTTTTAACTATGACATATTCTTAATAATTTGGAATTTGCTAATATTGTTGCAAAATAAGTGTAACAATGTCAATTAGTTTCAACTGCATAATTCAATTTTTTTTTTTTGGGTAAATGATGGTCTGATGTATGAGAGTTTTGAACATTGTAGTTACGACAACAAGCCAAGCCATTCAGGCTCTGAAGATGCTGAGGGAAAACAAGAACATGTTCGATCTCGTGATTAGCGATGTTCATATGCCAGACATGGATGGATTTAAGTTGCTTGAGCTTGTTGGGCTTGAGATGGACCTGCCTGTTATAAGTAAGCTATGAAAATCATTTTATTGTTGATTTCATTTCCTTTTAAATCATATTATGTGTATCTTCTACTTATAGAAATATGTATAATTGTAGAAATCAATTTGATTTATTTCATTATTATACAATAATGTAGAATATCTGCATTGATTGGGTGTATTTCCAGAATGATATCTGTTTATGAAATAAATTAAGGACTTGATTGTAGGCTAAATTTGCTTGGTTACATTCACCTCACTTCAATTTGATGATTACTTTTAAAGACTTATCAAATTGGTTAGTTATGAGGCGGGTTGATTTGGATAATCTTTTGTGTATTAATTGTGGAATGCTCTCTTCGCTTGTAATAAAGTCATAGTGCTATTTAGGGATGCCTAGAAAATTTGTCATCTTTAAACATACTCTCACGTAAATAGAATATTGGATTGTTGGAGAAATAATTAAAAGGAGACAACTATCAGTAAGACAGTTTAAGCAAAATTATAGTGAACACTTAGTTATGAGGTGGGTTAATAAAAATGTAAATATTAACTTTGAACATAGAGTTTTCAGTGGGTTTTGTGTAAGAAAATCTTGTTTAAGCCCCGGAATATTTGGGGCAGGCTCGGTGTATGTAATGGGGGATCAACTTCTAACAGGTCTAATTTAGAGTGATTGTCCGTTTTTGTGGGTTATTAGTCTTATTACTATAGCACAAGTTTAAGTGCTAAAATGGGAAAACTTATGTTTACAGTGCTGTCTGCTAATGGTGATCCCAAGCTGGTAATGAAAGGGATTACACATGGAGCTTGTGATTACTTGCTAAAGCCCGTGAGGTTGGAGGAGCTGAAGAATATCTGGCAGCATGTAGTCAGGAGAAAGAAGTTTGATCCTAAGGACCGAAACAGCTCTAACAGCCTGGACAAGAATTCCGGTGGAGATAATGGAACTGGAGGTCCAAACTCTGATCAAGATGCAAAATTTTGTAGAAAGAGGAAGGACCAAAATGCGGATGATGATGAAGACGATGATGAGGATGATAATGAAAATGAAGACCCTTCTGCTCAGAAGAAACCCCGTGTTGTCTGGTCTGTGGAGCTGCATCGCAAGTTTGTTGCTGCTGTCAACCAGCTTGGTCTTGAGAGTATGTTCTCTCTTATTCTCCTCTTCTTGCAGAATTTATGATGATTCTATAGTTTCCTTAATATGGGCATTCTATATATATCTATAAAGGTATATGATATTCGGCCCAAATTCTTTAAGTATGATCCTAATATGTACCTCAATTTACATTATAGTATCAACCATCAAGCTACATAGAAAGCATCATGAGGTGCCGAGGATACATTATCACCAAGTTTTGCTATTAATATGAAATTCAACTTATAATGATGATTGTAATGCTCATTTCTGATCCAAGAGCTTTGAAGGGGTTTAGACTTCAGAGAGTAGTGCAAGATTGTTCTTGTACAATTTAATTTCATCATTATTGTTATCACTGGTAGCTAGCTATTGTACTTTGTACTCGAGATTTGAGATTTTCTGATCTTAAATGCTGATAATGTTTTCTTTTTGAAATGCAGAAGCTGTACCTAAGAAAATTCTGGAGTTAATGAATGTTGATAAGCTTACTAGAGAAAATGTGGCCAGTCATCTCCAAGTAAATTTCTGCAAACTCAGTGTTTTTATTATTGTAGAAAAACACCATTTCACAAACTTAGAATTTTCCTTCTGTTTTTATGTTTCCCAGAAATATCGATTGTATTTGAAAAGAATCAGCGCAGTGGCTAATCAGCAAGCTAACATGGCTGCCGCGTTAGGAGGGCCTGATTATCTCAGAATGAACGCTGTGAATTTTCATGGCTTCAATGCGAGTCCACAATTTCATAACAACTCTCTGAGACCCATCCCGCCCCCTGGAGTCTTGGGAAGATTGAACACTCCAGCTGGGATGGGCGGCCTTCACGGGCTCCCTCCTTCTGGACTCGTTCAGTTGAGCCAGCCCCAAAATCCAACTTCTTCCATCACTGACTCCAAATTATACCCCAACTTGTTTGCCGGGGATCATACTGGCAATGTACTTCAAGGGATGCCGACATCATTGGAATTTGATCAACTCCACAAAAATAATACCATCTTAAGTGGCTCAAGCAATTCAATTCTCAGCCTTCCTAACAGTTTATTGACGATGCAAGGCCGTTCCTCTCAAGAGACACAAAGTCTTGACAGTTTTGGGGTGAACATGAATTCTGCCCCTAACTTGCTGGATCATAATAGATGTAGTAGCAGTTGGCCTGCAGCTGTCCAATCACAGCCAAATTCTATGAATCCCATGGACAATAGGGTGCATGATTTTTCACCAAATATCTCTATCCAAAGCCGGTTGCAGAACTCGAACATGATGGGTGAGAATATGATGCAGAACACGAGTCATGTGGCCAAGCAAGTATGGGATGTAGATTTTTTGGATGGCTCGGCAAATCCTTCAGTGACTGGCACTCACAGTGTATACAATCCAAGCAGCAGGAGTAGAGATACGGGATATGATATGATGGGACAACCAGGGTTTGATTGCTTAGCCCCCCACCCCCAGCATGACCAGATGCTCCAAAATTCAGCAGTTGACATGACAAGAAAAACAAAGCAAGGGCAGTTCATGGAACAAGGAGGGAGGCCTCTGGGAAATTATAATGCTGGTAATGGTGCCGGGTCCTTGGAAGATGTTGTGACCGCGATGTTTAAGCCTGTATGATCTTTCGTTTTCTTTGTGCAGGTATACTTCTTGAACTAGGTTTACACCCTTAATTATTGAATCCAATGTGCTGATAATTATCCTGTAAACCTTGTTACTTCACTGTGGGGTCTGAAGCAACTGAAGTCAGTTCTATGTTCCCCCTTTTCATCATACTTAGTTAAAAGACCTTTCACAGCAGGATAGGAAATCATACCTTTGTGAAAGCATGCCTAAAAATTCACTTGTAGTTTGTATGTCACCATGTTTTGAGCAATGCTGGTTTTTGTTTTCAACTAATTTGCCGTTTCTGTTTCAGGAACAAGATGTGAAAACGTCGAGGAATGGGGAATTTGAATCTGATATGTATTCCTAGTTAGTGGAAGGCTTGTTTAATGGTAGAAGGTAAACTGGAGAAGCACAGCCCAATTTGGGAAATCTCCTTTATTTGTAGTTTTATGATACATTTGCTACCTTTGTTTTAGGCTAAGTAGTTGCTGTTCTAAATAAATGTTATGGTTAGTTGGTACTCAGATGCTTACCATGCCCCATTCTCTAATTTAAGGTTTCGTTCTTTTCACATGAATTGCCCTTTTTCGAACATATCTGAAATTTGCTTCCATCTAGACTTTCTTGACGTTATATGTACAAGCTCGACATACCACCTATGAAGTTTTTTTCAAGGCAAATAAGTTCACACGATGGCCAAGATGTTCAAACACGTTTTAATAAACGCTATCCAAATTCAAGTGACAACAAATTGAATTTCAAGTGAATAGAACACACATTTACATCCTTACTGTTATTCACGCCTGCCTTAATGCTAAACATTTAATGATTTCCATTTTTATATTTATGATTATAATTTGATATTTATTTTGTCAGACTCGAAATGTCCAGATTTCATGGTATCCAGGCATCTATGAGATTGGATGAGGTAGTATATATCCCATTATTACTCCTCTGACATGAAGATGCAATCAAATGATATCCCATCTCTGAACAAGATATTTATTTATCTACTTGAAACAATAATAAAGACAATAATTTTTTTGTACTATTACCTCGTATGTTTAAGACATCTTTGTCAGATTTATCTTTCAACAATGCAATGATCCATCAATTTGATTAATAATCATAATGCCAGAGTACACAAACATTTAATTTCAGGGTAAATATTTGCTAATGTTACCTTACATAAGCATGAAAGAAGCCAAATTATCTAGGGCTATAATTTACAACCTTCTTCATCACCCATCCATACGGTGCCACATTTAATTTTAGCCGATAACATCTATTCCACGGAAGATTTTACAATGGTTACAAATTACAATACATTTGTTGTCATTACAACAATACATAAGATTAATTAATAATTAGTGTAATTTTTTTTTCTTTCGACGGCTACAATAAAGTTGTAGCTATTGTAATATATTTTGAGAGAAATATATAACAAAAGATAATAAAATTAAAGGAACAAACCAAAATAAAATAAATTGTGGGTGTTAAGAAATATTGTTAAGGAAATAGTGAGAAAATGTAGTAAGGATTTGTGAGTTTAATCCAATCCTCACATCAATACCTTTGTCTTCCTTAGGACTTTGCATGAAATATGCAACTTGTGGGACAGGAGGAGTTAAAGGGCATGCAGAAACAGCTGAATTTGCAAAAGAGTGCATGAAATTAACCTTGTGAAATGGCATTCTAGTCCAATCTGAGACCATGGTGAGCTCCCTTAGGGATGGGAGGGCGTCCCCGGACCCCTCGAGTACCTCGAGATACGTGCTAACGTAATCATTGTCGACGGAGTTCTTGGCCATTTTGATCTTGTTGACAAGGGTTTCGTAGCTTGCGAGCTCAAGTTCGCCGGCTGTGAGGGCGACGGAGGCTAGAACATAAGCATTGCCACTGAAGCCTTGGGAGAGTTGGGGTGTGAGTCTTGTCCTTGTGTCTACTGCAAATTGGAGACATACCATTCTTTCTCTTCTTAGCCCTAATGCTTTTGTTCTTGCCTGCAGTATTGTATATTAGTTCATTGATCATACATGCTACTCATAATATAAGATTATATATGTAAATGTTGTGAAATTATAATGAACGTAAATTATTCTTATTAGCAATAAATAATCATACTATAAACAGATATAACATTCACTAGAACCTTTACAATTTAAATGAAACCATTAGGCAATGGTACGGTAAATTGAAGCTTCTTCCACCATAAATCATATTTTTAATGATGCAGCTTTGTTCAATCATCCCTCAAACCATGACCTAACATGTGTGAATGATATGTGGTACATGATACACTGATACACCTTTAGACTTAAATTAAAGCTAGTTTAAAGTAGGTAGCAACTTGTACTACCGTACTAGCTCATTCCATGTACCAATTCAATTGCAACACGATTTAGATATAAATGTAAAAAAAGTTAAGTCAATTGCCTATTAGATGATTTCCATGCTTATGATAACCAAATATTCATTCAAACACACTTAATATTAATAACTAGACGCCAATACGGTACGTTTGTGTTCATTTTGAACTTAACATGAACAACATTATATCATATATAAAACCCAATTATTGATTGTTCAGACGAGCTCAGAATACTTACCTTCCATAGGTGTGCAGTGACAATCTCAAAAGATGAACACGACGATGAAGAGTAGCTATTAAGGCCATAAGTTCTCCTCTTCAAGGTATCAATCATCGACGAGGTGAAGTGAAAGGTTGTAAGAAGACAATCATCTTTAATAGAAGATGGTACAAACAATTGAGGGTTCATAAGCATGCCACCACTAGGAGCTGCTTGGGTGATCAATTGGTACAAATGTTGAATAGCCGCGACTTTTGTTAATGCAGCTTCTGGACTATTGTTTTTGTTAGAGTTGGATTTGAGGTGTAACAATATTTCTCGGTCATGCACTGGTTTATGCCAATCAAATGCCTTAATTCCAAGCTTGGTAGCTTGAGTATTGGACGCCCAAGCTGATAAAAAATTGAAGGTTGCTTGACCGTCGAAAAGTGCATGACTTGTTCCTACCCCAATTGAGTAGCCTCCACATCCAAATTTTGTCACCTGCATTATTAATCAAGCAAGTAACATGTATGGTTACAAACAATGCAATATGCCAATATATATACTTATTACAACATATATACACTAAATCGATCGAGGAACTCCTAGTTGATCAATTATATTATATTGGGAAATCCCAGAATACCTACATGGCTACACATGTACATATAAGAGGTATTATTTGTGAGACATTAAATCTTCCTTTATTGCAAATAATATGAAATAGAGGTAATAATTAAAAGTTGTTTTGAGTATGGACTAGATCAATAGTTTGATCCCAGAGAGTATCATTGAAGTAGTATTATACTTCATATAATTTACTATTGGCAACTAAACTCATGGGTATTAATAGTTCAGAATTCGTTAGTACATGATTCACTTGATATTTCTAAGGGAGTTATGAGCATCATAAAATAACAATCCTAGTAGCTATCTTACAAATTCACTTCTACGATTTAGACCGAAAAAGCTACTTAAAATAAAATTCCAAAAACTCAAAGTTAATTACAAAAAGATTTCAAATAATTCATAAGATTATGTTTGGAGGAATCTAATTTTATAGAATATATAAAAATAAATACTACACTTGCAATAATAGTGAGTCATAAACTATATTCATAATAAAAATTTATATGTAGGAATATCTTTTTGAATAAATTAAGGAGTATTTTAATTTTCTTCTTTGGGTATGAACAAACAAGAAAACAAATCAACAAGAGTGAAAGAAGTGCAACAGCTTTTATATATAAAATTAAAAGCTGAAGTGTTTGTTTTACAACATTAATCAGATCATATAACCTAAGCTTCATGGTACACATAAAGTTTAACTATAAACTTACAAATCACAAAACCTTTATTATGACTTTCATCTTTTTATACATTATTTGTAACAAAATGAAATTTTATTAGAGTTAAAGCAATTCAAGACTTAATTTATGTTATACGTAACATAAATTATAGCGAATTTGCAATAATATACAGAAATTAAAATGTAAATATTCTAGTAAAGAGGTAAAATATACCAAATTAGAGTAAATTACCTGAGCAACAAGAAGGGGCATATCAGAAGTAGGCTTATAAACCAAATTCTCAAAAAAGTCATTATATTGAGAAAGATTACCGAGCTCCGAAACCCTAGTTTGTGTAACAGCTTCAACCATAATTGCACCGCCATTGTTGCACCAAAGATCAAGCTTATTCCCATTATTAGGGTTTTTGCTTAATCTCCCGGCTGCCGGGTACCATAGCGACAACGTCTCCTCTAAACCCAATTTCAAGCTACTAAACACATAATCATTACTATTATTATGATTATGATGAGAAGGATTATAGAAAAACACCAAGTACATAAGTGTAGGACATTGCCTATCTAAATTTGAAAGCTTCATAACTTTGGTAGCTTGCATGCTTTTTGGATATACATTTACCTTTTTTGTTACAAATACACTAGCCATGATTTTTTTGCTAAATAAAGCTTTATAAATTTAATTAGTGTAATAGTATATAATAGAGTAAAAATGAATAATTTGGTTTTAATGAGACATAGATGAATGAGGGTTTATGAACATATATAAGGAGAAATGTAGAATGAAGATAATAATATGTAGCTACGGAAGCTAAGTAGATTCCTAGCAGCCGACCTTTGTCTCTATTAATAATGGGTTTTGTTTAATAATCTATCTTATTAATAAATTAAATAATTAGAATGGTGTATGCCCTTAAAAAAAAAAACAAAAAAAAACCTTAACTTGCAAAAAATCCATTGAATTTGCATGGTACTGTACATATATTTGTGTATATGACATGAAAGTTTAAATTTATATAATTATTATTTGACTTACATATTATTTATTGTCTGGTTCCCACTGTTTATTATTTTTATATTTTGAAAATAATTGACAGAGACAAAGATATGCACGGTTAAAAGGTGGCCGGTTCGTCCATATGCTAAGTAGTTGTTATAATTTTCTAAAAATAGTTGTACACTAACTTATAAAAATGAAGTATATATATTTCAGGAATAATAATAATAATAATAATAATAATAATAATAATAATAATAATAATAATAATAATAATAATAATGTATAAAGTTGAGGTGCAAAACTTATATTCATGAACCTACCTGAATGAAATTTAATAAATAAAAGATGAAATGTTGTGGTTGTCCAAGGTTTATTTTTATAACTAATTAATAAGTTAATTAAGCTGTTAATAATGGGAAACAAATGCAGTTGTTAAGGCAGAAAAGTAGCAAAATAATGAAGAGAGACAAAGGTGTTGTAAAAAGTGTATTGATTCTAGTTACAGCGAGCTTTGTTTGTAATGTTTTCAAGTACCCAAGAAATTCTGGTAGCATACGTACAGGTGCTCTCCAAGAATTTTCTTGTTATCTTTTCATTGTCTTTGGTCGAAAAATCTTTGTTACCTATCAACTTGTCGTTCACCAGGTTTAATTTTTCCAATGAACAATGAACGTGTACTCTCTTTGTCCAGTATTGATGGTCACATTCCACATAATAATACAGACGATATTCAATGTTTGATTATACAATTGTTTGTTGTTTCATAGAAGTTGAGAATTTAAAACTAATATGATGTATAATGTATACATATGCATGTAAATTAAAACATGTTGGTGTTAGTTAGAGTTTAAGACAATAATGTGATAATGACGTGACGAATACATATATAACTTATACAACTAAGGTTTATGAGGCTAATGAATCAGTAATTTTCTAATTAGTCGTGATGAATTAGAGAAAGTACACATTTCAAAGTGAAGATTATAATTCTTACAAGATCAAAGGAGATTCCATCAAAAATTCAATTGAAAATGGGGAAGGAGAGCTCTTCAACCTTCTAAATGGTTAATATCTCTTCCCTTTTCCAATAACAATGTAATGTATAGTTTGACATCTAGTACTCTTGTACAATATTAAATCTCAACATGATCCATAAGTGGCTCCAAACAATATTATATGACCCTGGAAAGCATCCCTTACAATCTCCAGAATTTCGACGTCGAGTCTCAAAACCTCTAAATTTGGTCTAAAATCATGAATTATAGGCTTCATTTTGGACATTTTTTTGACTTTTTTAGAACTAAAAATGAAAGACCTTGAGGTGTCTCCCTTGGACCCTTCAAGACCTCCGGAGGCTATCTGAGTGGTTGGAACTAGCCATTTTGCTTCTAAACAGTCAATATGACTTTTTTGTATACACCTCCTTTCATTAGTTAAAGGCCATCATGGGCCTTTATGTGATCGACTAGTGGTTGTATACGGTCCTAAATAACACTATATAATCTATCTCGAGATGTGTTCCTTACAATTCGGTGAGTTTTTGACACCAAACCCCAAAACCTCCGATATTTGTCCGATTTCGTGTATTATAGCCTTTAACTTTAGCTTCAAAGAACGATTTTAGGCCAAGTAAGATTATGTTTCCAGGTGTTTCTTGGGCTTTCCAAAGGTTCTTGGGAGTCCTACTCGGTGCTCAAAACCATCTCATTTATGCCTTTACGTCACTTTTAGAGTTCCTTCTCTTGTCTTGCCTTGGCCTTGTTACCTTGTCTTTGCCTTGTGTTGCCTTGCCTTTTCTGGCTTTGTCTTAGCCCTAAGGCAAGCCAAGACAATAGGCAATTAAGGTTTAATGATACTAATTAATTAATAATTTTACTAAGACATAATGAATTATAAGAGTAATTAAAGATTCCAAAATGGGGGTTTAGATTTCGTACAAGATCACATGAAATTTCATCAAAAAATCAATTGATAATGAGGGGTAGAGAGCTCTTCAACCTTCTAAATTTATTAATATCCCTACTCTTTCCCACAACAATATAGGACATCTCAATACTTGTGTACAACCTTAATTTTAACCTGATTCATAATCAACGACAGTCGCGCGACTATACTAGTCCTTTTTGAATACTTGTTCAAAAATATTATATTAGTCATTATATATAGTAAAAATTGTATATGAAATTCACTAATAAATATTTTTTCCTACGCCAATATAACACAATTAGTGCTCTTTTTAAAATATATATATATATATATATATATATATATATATATATATATATATATATATATATATATATATATATATATATATATATATATATATATATATATAAAATATTACAAATCAATTATTACTCTATATATCATAATAATTCAAGTATTAGTTCTTAACATAATCTCATATTATAAGTACGGAAAAAGACGTCTTATCATATTGCAACCTCGCACATGTCAACCCGGCCAGGTTGGGAACAAAGCCCCTTGGGAGTGAGGGGGAGGTAGCATGATGTATGAATATAAGATGATATGAAGGAAAAATAAAAATACCTTTTTATACTTTAGTGAAGAAGGTTGGGTTAGTTAGTTTTTGATTAAAAAGTCAGGGATTCTGTCTGGTCGTACAAACATGATTTTTGTACACACATTGTACCACTAAAAACTAACACAAACGAAAAAACATATAGTTGTATATATCAAGTCCTAAAGAAATAAAAGATTAATTAGTATAATTATAGTACTAATGAGTAATAAAATAAGGGGATGTTTGTTAATAGGGGAAAAAAGAGAGGTGGGAAATTGAAGCAGCAAAGTTAAGCGAGTGATTTGTTGGAAAAACAGGTTGTCAAAGAGAGTTGCTGTTTGAGTTAAAAGCATGCGTGTTTTTGAAGCTCAACTTGTCTTTCTTTGGTTTCCACTTTCCCAGCACTTTGCCGTTTTTCCAGTCATCCCACGATTAGCTTTACACTTTTTTTTTTTTTTTACCTTTCTTGCTTTTTTTCTCACTTTCTTCTCTCTTTTTTAATAGATTATATTAGGTTGAACATACCAAGTTCATCTCTATCTTCTCCTATTGTATTGTTATATTGTACATTTCCCATATTATCTTATGGTGTGTGAATTCAATCATAGATTGTAATAAATTGGTCACTGTGTTGAGTGTACATATGCTGTCGAGTATATAGACCCGTCCAGTAGTTGTTGTGTTGATATTGTATTACAAAGTTTAAACTAATACAAATACGTAGTAGCTTAGTTGATAAGTTTGCATTTTGGGCTAACTAAAATTGTTAGGATCCTAAAAGTTGTACTAGTATAGTAGTCATAAGTATCAATAAGTTCATTTGACATCCACATAGTTTTAGCTATCTCATATGTCACATATGTGTCAATATATTGATCAAATATTGAACTTCATGATCTATTAACAAATATTTTTCATTGAATTTCATGATTATTTGACAAAGAAACGTAATAACATGTGTTTTAAATAAACAAAGTCATAATATAAACATACATACAACATAAAAACTCAAATATAAAACCGGTACTTTGTTAAATAAAGTGCCTAGCAATCTTAATCTAGTTAAATTGCCATTTCAAATAAGTTCAATAATTCAAAAATTATAGAGTGAAGAAATATTGTACATACAAGTGTTATAACTTCTATTAGCCACACACAAGATTCAACTACAAGATATGTAGGAGCAAATGTTTTGACTTTAACTTAACCAATAAACCTGATTAATTACGATTAAAATATGTACAACTTTCCATTATGTCATAGTTAATTGGTATATTTTGCTAAGGTCTAATATCAGTCACAAGATTTAAATATGGACCCTTAATCAAGTCCTTAACTAACAGCTCCATAAAGGGTAGTACCAATTAAAATTCTTAGCACAAAATAAAGTACTACAGTAGTTGGTAGTTCGTATAAAAGTCTAAAATACTTGTATGTATCTTTACTTAGAGTGGCAGACAACAAGGGTCTTCTATTGATGCGGCTTTGGCTGGCAAATGTAGCTAACTAAGCTAAGCCATAAAAACTGCGAAGGTGGTCCTTTTAATACCCAAGAACTTGATTCTTGCAATAAGTAATCTAGGTTGCATGAAAGTGGATATGAACACGGTGGAATCCGGAGCTATATGATGATATGGATACGAAAATTCTATTTTATAATTGATGGAACCCAATACAACGAACAATGATAGAAAACATAAATTGAAGGCTTAATACGTAGGATGAAACTAATATTTATACCTTGTAACAAACTGACAACAACCTTTACAAGACGATAAAGCTATGCTATGGAGTACATATAAGAGGTCCGAAGTACATAAAGCAAAGACGACACACCACCAAAATAATAGGGGGCATCAGTCGGAAGCTAATAGGGTTGATCGAAGGCAGAACTACCAAAATTAAAGAACAAGGTCTACGTCTTTGTAGAGAGTAGTGCTAAATTTATGTAATTTGTAAAAAGTTGGCGGAGATTGATCAGAAAAAGGCCGAGTAGCTGCCCGTACTTCCTGGTCGGGAGTCTGTCCCACAGGTGGCCGATCATCGGTCCCCTCTCATGCCAGTATTCAGGGTAGTCCATATCCATCACAATCATATTAAATTTAACATAGAAACATTCACTACCGAATTAGAGATGGTACTGAATGGTAGCATAAATTTTCCTTGCAAAATTACATTAAAATTCATTACCAATCACGCTTTATGGTCGGTAAATAAATGGGGTGTTGTGTTGATGCATCTCATTGTGTTGCTATTTAAAGTAAGATAATCTCTTACAGCATGGTCAGTAAACAATCGGGGTGTTGACGCACCCCATTGTGTTAAAGTAAGATAATCTCTTACAACGCTTCCTGACGGAAAAAAAAAAATATTTATGCAAGACTTAATTTTTACATATATAATCATGAAGCAACCCATAGCCCCATAAAGGTGATTAGGCGCCCATTGCCCATTCAGCAATCCTTTGTTCAGAATGCAAAGATGAAAGAGCCTCTATTAATTATAGCAGGCTGCCATAGTCCCATTTTTGATATAGGAACAAGGAGAGGATCAACCATTTAGAGAAAGATCCTGCCTTCTAAGATATATTAATTAT